GCATCATGAAAGCTAAAAGACTGAAATGGTTGGGGCATATTGAAAGAATGTTAGATGACAATGAAAACTGTATACACGAGGGAGATAAAAGGTCATAGACCACGAGGCAGACCAAGCAGACGATGGAAAGATAATGTCCAGACAGACCTGCAAATACTTGGTGTCACCAACTAGAAAGAGAAGGCCAGCCAGAGAGATGAATGGAGGCAGGTGATATCTGCAGCAATGAACTTCAAGGGCTCAAAATGCTGAAAAAGAAGAAGAAAAAGTATATATAGCAGAGTTTATAACGGCCTCTACAGATTCCAAGTCTTCATTGTCAATCATTATCATCCTATTGTGCAGTTACGTCAAGACTCACAGCTTAGTCCAGCATTTCCCTTCTATAACTCGCTTGGATAACTCAACAACGTTCGTTTCAGGGTTTCTCCAGGTCGTGCTCGTTACTTCAATCCATAAGTGTCCCAACTTCACTGTCTGATGATTCCCTGTTCGCTTTTTCTCAGAATGTGCCCCACATATATACGGATCAACATAATGACACAAGGGTAGTAACACATAAGCGCTCCGTTCTACTTCTCCGTTTTCAGCGCAGTCCACGAATTCCGCGGCACCGACGAGGATCCTGAAATACTTTAGGTAGATTTTCAACTTCAAATTTTGCCCGGGTAGCGCCGTTAGGCCTTTCTGTCTTCGATTTCCAACTGCCAAGGGATTTGTAACGTGCGCAACAATACACACATGTGTCCGATTTTATTACCCAGAGACACGGTGAAATTACTAAAAGTCACCTGAAAAAACCTCAGCCTTCATTTGGACTTGAAACCGGGACCTCCAGCACTCGAGGCGGACACCATTCACAGAGACAAGGCAGCGCCAAGCTGTTATTAACAGATTTATGCGACGACGTCTGTGGCTTAGGCGTTGCGAACGGACTTCGTAATGCCAGGGTGCCGGGTTCGATCCCAGCTGCAGGCATTGTACATTGCGATGGTTTCGACCGTGGCTTTGAGAAGAAATTGCAAATTCTGGACGTAGCCTTGTCTAGAAAAAACCACAACAGCCACACACCCACATACACACACACATACACACACATACACATACACACATACACATAAACACACATACACGCACACAAAAATGCACACACACATACACACACATACACACAAATACACACATACACACATACACACACACATATACACACATACATACACACAAATACACACACATACACACACATACAAACATACATACACACACATACACACACATACACATACACACACATACACACATACACACATACACACACATACACACACATATACACACATACACACACATACACACACATACACACATACACACATATACACATATACACACATACACATACACACACACATACACACACATACACACACATACACACACAAATCCTGGGGTTGGTTCTGCATCGTCATGTAAAGGATACGCAACTAACTTTATGTGTCTTTGTTGGCTCAGACTCAGATAATATGTACACATGTTGGGACAGAAAAAATATGAATAAAATGCGCGATCAAAACCTTATCCTTCTGCCTTGGCTTGCAACCACTACTTCGCTGATTTCAGCTCGCTTTCGTCCTGCCAGATGGTCAGGCCAATATGATCGATCTCATCATTAGCCCGACAACCAACAAGGTACAACATGACATTGTAATTGAATTAAAAGCACAATTTTACAACGTTTAAATAGGGAAAACAATAATTACACCGACAATTAAAAGACTTGTTCTTTTTTTGGAGTTATTTTCGACCGCGTTGAGCTGACTGTCACATCTCGTGCTTCTTCATAATGTCCAAACCATATGAGCTCGTCTTCATGTCTGTTTATTGCCTCATGTCTTATATTTTCTTCTTCTTCTTCTTCTTCTTCTTCTTCTTCTTCTTCTTCTTCTTCTTCTTCTTCTTCTTCTTCTTCTTCTTCTTCTTCTTCTTCTTCTTCTTCTTCTTCTTCTTCTTCTTCTTCTCCCTCTTCTTCTCCCTCTTCTTCTCCCTCTTCTTCTTCTTCTTCTTCTTCTTCTTCTTCTTCTTCTTCTTCTTCTTCTTCTTCTTCTTCTTCTTCTTCTTCTTCTTCTTCTTCTTCTTCTTCTTCTTCTTCTTCTTCTTCCTCATCTTCCTCCTCTTCTCCCCCTCTTCCTCGTCCTTTCCTCCTCCTCTTCCTCTTCTTCTTCTTCGTCTTCTTCTTCTTCTTCTTCTTCTTCTTCTTCTTCTTCTTCTTCTTCTTCTTCTTCTTCTTCTTCTTCTTCTTCTTCTTCTTCTTCTTCTTCTTCTTCTTCTTCTTCTTCTTCTTCTTCTTCTTCTTCTTCTTCTTCTTCTTCTTCTTCTTCTTTTTCTTCTTCTTCAGGTTTTAAAGTTTTGAACAACGGATCAACATCATGGCTCAATGGTGTAACCCATAAATGCTCCGTTCTTCTTTTAACTTGAGTCTGAGTCCGAAGAAGCTCAACACAGTGCACTGGCTCTGTAGCACGGGCGAGGATCCTGAAATTCTTTGGGTAGATTTGTTTAAAATCCAAATTTTGCCCCGGCAGCGCCGTAATGTTACTCTTGTCGAATTCCAACTGCCAAGGGATATTTTATGTGCGCAAAAATGCACACGGGCGTCTGATCTCACTGCCTAGAGACCAGGGGGAATTACTAGAAGCCCAAGTCCACGTGCAAAAATCCCAGCCCTTACCGAGGATTGAACCCGGAACCTCTAACACTCGAGGCAGACACCATGTCTCGAGACCACCGGAGGTGTATGAAGAACCAGAACTTTTCGCTGGAGATTACAGCCGATGACTGCGAGGAATAAAAAGATTACTAATTTTTATCTACCTGTCTATTTTGTTGTGACCATTCTTCGATAAAACTCGAGGCACCCACTTTAAGTTTCCATAGAGCCAACCAGAAAGGCTCTGAAATGCAATTCTGTTTCAATGAGTTATCCGCACGATCTTGAAATGAGATGGAGCCACAGAGATGCATATTTAAACAGCAGGAGTGGGGGCGGGGGGGGGGGGGGGGGGTAGCAGATCGATGTCAGCCATCCTATCATCCGTAACTGTTTATCTCCACCGTTAATTTACCTGCCGAACAGAACGACATTAACTAACACAAAACAATGCTATTGACAATCATCTATTTGCTCGAGAGTAACGTAATATGAGTCGATGAGGGTTAATGGTAAACGGTCGTGGAATGTCAGTGTTTGAAAACAGCACTGCGTAAGAAGGTCAAATTTGTTAAGTGTCAAATTCATGTCATCGTAAGTCTCGTAGATTTAACAGTCTCGAGTGAAACTATCTTCCCTTCCTTTTGTCTCCTCACATGATTTTTTAAAGCTAAAAGGTTAAAGTCGAGAGAATCGACTTAACTGCATTAGGGTTTATCCCATACGGCTCGGTCTCTCTCCGCAGAGCGGCTAGCCGCCTGCCGAGAGCGCCGCGCAGAGCATGAACTCTATAGCTCCGGCGACAATCACTAGGGATCTCCGTAAAAATTGCGCTCGTGAACTGAAGTTCGTAGCCGTGGAATGAAGCCACCACTTTCAGAGCTCGAGGCAAACGGCTTGACGACTTCGCCAAGGAGACACCTTATGATTTTATATAAGCACGTATTCTTTTCACTATCTCCAATTTGGCTTAACTATTATAAGTAAAGTAAAGTAAAGATCCCTTTACACGCCCTTAGGCGCATCGGGCATATGGGAAGAGCACCCATATTTTTACAGACCTATCGGCACTCGGTGGGTAATGTGGTCAGCATTACGCCGGCCGTCTTTACTTTCCCCAGGACAGCCCATCCTGGTACCCATTTGAGGCTGCGACGTCCCATACCATGATAAAAATCCACGCAGCCCACGATCGCGGTACGTTGGATTACGAGTCAGACTCGCAACGCCTTAGCCACGGACGCCGCTTAGCTATTATATATAACTAAAAATCAACGATACAGAGATTTGATCACAGATATGGCGACGGAAACTTTGGAACCCAGGTACAGAAATGGGTAATGTGCATCAGCAAAACCTAGCTGGAAACATATAACGGTTGGACCGTCAGCAGTTTTGCCCCACATTCACACTTGTGCAAGTTTTCTTCATAAATGTATTCCTAGTTAGTTCTGGTTTCAACCGGCTGATCGCTGAAGCTTCCGCATATCGGAGTAATCTGCGGTTGGTCGAATTGTAAATAATTCAAAATGCATCATCCCTGTTAATGATGTGCCCGGAATTTGGAATATGGCACACAAATGTTAATTTTTACCAACCAATCGGAGGTTGATTTCGGAATAATCCCCATATTAACGACTGTAACAGAAGCAGGAAGCGAATACTTAAATAACCCTTCAGTGTGAATAATTAAATAACCATTTAGTGTGAATACTTAAACCAAAACTACCCGTGTGGGTTACAGGGATTCATTTTGCAGGACGAAAATATCGGTTGCCCAACAGGCACGTTGTAAACAAGGCAATAACTTAGTGGTTTACTAGATGTGCTGAAATTGGAAGATATCGTAGCTAAACAGCTTAAAACTGTAAACAGCCCTGCTAAGCGCAAACTTGGAAGGAGGACGAGGAGGAAGTAGGGTGGAGAAAAGCGGAAGCAGAAGAAGGAGGAGAAGAAGAAGAAGAAGAAGAAGAAGAAGGAGAAGAAGAAGAAGAAGAAGAAGAAGAAGAAGAAGAAGAAGAAGAAGAAGAAGAAGAAGAAGAAGAAGAAGAAGAAGAAGAAGAAGAAGAAGAAGAAGAAGAAGAAGAAGAAGAAGAAGAAGAAGAAGAAGAAGAAGAAGAAGAAGAAGAAAGAAGAAGAAGAAGAAGAAGAAGTGAAGAAGAAGAAGAAGAAGAAGAAGAAGACTAAGGAGAAGAAGAAGTAGAAGGAGAAGAAGTCACTTAACCTCTATGATATTACAGAGTATGAATCGTTTCAACACCTGTTTCATGTAAACAACTCCATCACTTACCTATTGTAGTAATAACCGTGATGCTGTAAAGAAGTGAACCAGAGAAAGACCACTTGACGTCATCACTGAACTCATCCCTGCCGTCCCAACCACGTTCTCTCACAGCCTCCACAATGTCGTCCTGAAACTCCCTCATGATTCTCTCGGCCAGGAGGGTCCAGTTTCTCTCATAGAGGATGTTCAGCTCTTGGGTCATGTTCCAGAGCTGCCGTTGGGGGGACAAGATAATTACATTATCAATATGATTTGAAAGACACTAATTTACGAAGAGAATTTTGCCCAATTCAGGAGACAGTCTACTTACCTTGGTTACGTCATGAGGAGTAGAAAACTGTAATATATGACGATGGGATAGTTAGAAGGGAAGAGAAGCACACACACACACACACACACACACACACACAGAGAGAGAGAGAGAGAGAGAGAGAGAGAGAGAGATGATGATGATGATGATGCTTGACAGTTTGACAACATGACATGGAGGATCAACTGTGTCAGAAATGATTGAAAGTACACGAGGTAGAAGATTGTGCACATGGCAACCAACATCTGACTTCATGGATTAGGATTAGGAGGAGGAGAAGAAGGAGAGAAGAAGGAGGAGGAGTAGAAGGAGGATGAGAAGAAGGAGGAGGAGAAGAAGGAGGAGGAGAAGAAGGAGGAGGAGAAGAAGGAGGAGGAGAAGAAGGAGGAGGAGAAGAAGGAGGAGGAGAAGAAGGAGGAGGAGAAGTTAAATTGGAACTGATATTTAAACTTCAAACATTCTGACATAATATGTTCCTTGTTAGTCATCAAAACACTTAAGGTATTCAAAGTACGAGGGGATTTCAATAAGTAAGTCACAGATGGTTGTTAACCCCCCTCCCCCCTCCCCTCCCCCCCAAAAATAATAAAAAATAAAGACGATAACAACTTGAAAACTGTTTATTTTTGCACTTGTACTATCTCTTAATCTTTCAACATAATTGCATCTAAACAAATGAAATCTAAAAAGCGTACATATGTAACTATAAGTCAGTCAGTTAGTAGCATGTCGTTTGCAGAACCTTTCTCCCATAAAAACCTTCCATAAAACGTATCAATCACAAGCAAGATGTCCCATGTCCGAAACACCCATCTGGAGATCACCACATCCTGCACCTATCTTCTCTTTGGTCTTCCTCTTCCTCTTTTCCCAGGCATACACACCTCCATTTTTGTTCTCTCTAAACTTTCGTGACGTTTCAAATGACCAAAATATTTAAATTTTCTGTGTTTTATCGTCTTTAATAGCCAGCCTTCTTCAACATTCAGTTCTCAAAGTATGGATGCATTTGTTCTTTTATTTACCCAGGATATTTTTAGAACCCGTTTATAACATTTGTATTCAAAGGCATTTATGAGCTGTTCAGCTTGTTTAGCAAGTATCCTGGTCTCACAAACGTATATTGAAATGGGAAAGATGCACGCTCTTAGAAATCTAATTTATTAAGTTCTGTGTGTCCCATTCTATAATTTATTCAGTTGTTTTAGTCTTTGAAGAGCAATTGGTAGTCGTCGTTTAATTTCTTTCATTGTGTCACCATTGTTGGTAATCAAAGACCCAAGGTATTCAACATTTTTCACAACCTTTAAGCGTTCTTTATTAAAGTATATTTCTTTCTCCACATTAGTTTTATCTGCACAGGTGTATTTTTTTTTTTTTTCGTATCCAGAAACCATGAGTTGTAAACCCTTTGGCTCGGTACTATGGATATCGCAACCCTTCAGCATTGATTCCATTATGGGTACCGTTTATCTGGGAGAAATGTGGCTTTTCTGCCTACCCCGGGGAGTGAACCCGGACCACAGGGAGTTCGTCACCCGGCCGCAGCGAAAGTCAGGTTTAACGCTAGAGAGCCGGGCAGCACAAGTGTATAGAACAGGATAATTACCTTTCGGGGGTGGGGTGGGGATACCTACGGGACGGCAGGGACGCACTGAAAGAAACGAGACTCAGCATGTGAAAGCGGGACGTACGGTCACCATAGTCTAGGCAGATGTACACATCTTCTGTGAAGTCTTTCCAACGTTTTGTAAAAGCTGGTCTTCACTTCATTATGGCTGTTCTGATACTGTGGTTCGATCTTGTGTATAGTCTTTCCAACACATTGTAAAAGTTGGTCTTCAATTCACTAGGGCTGTTCTGATACTGTGGTTCCATCTTCTGTGAAATCTTTCCAACGAATCTTAAAAGCTGGTCTTTTCTTCATTAGGGCTATTCTGATACCCTGGTTCCATCTTCTGTAAAGTCTTCCCCGTGCCCGGTCATCATTATATTTCTTCAGCGCGGCTTTCTGTAACAGTTGTTACCAGGATAATGCCACTGGATAGCCAAATGTAATTTTTTTTTTTAAAATAAACTGTTTGAATGTTGAATTAGTAATCGACATCACAGCACTCAGTACACCCCTCGCCCCACATAAGCACTCAGTTCTCATCTTCAGCAGCAAGTGATGAGTTCCAGTTCTGATGGCACCAGTAACTGTCTGATTATACATCCATCCATGTATATATATATATATATATATATATATATATATATATATATATATATATATATATATATATATATATATATATATATATATATATATATATATATATATATATATATATATATATATGTTTGTATGTATGTGTGTATGTATGTTTGTTTGTGTGTTTGTTTGTGTGTATGCCTGTATGTTTGCATGTATGTATGTATGTTTGTATGTATGTGTGTATGTATGTTTGTTTGTGTGTATACCTGTATGTTTGCATGTATGTATGTATGTTTGTTTGTGTGTATGCCTGTATGTTTGCATGTATGTATGTATGTTTGTTTGTGTGTATGTATGTATGCCTGTATGTATGTATGTTTGTTTGTGTGTATGTATGTATGCCTGTATGTTTGCATGTATGTATGTATGTATGTATGTATGTATGTATGTATGTTTGTTTGTGTGTATGTATGTATGTATGCCTGTATGTTTGCATGTATGTATGTATGTTTATTTGTGTGTATGTATGTATGCCTGTATGTTTGCATGTATGTATGTATGTTTGTTTGTGTGTATCTTCTTCTTCTTCGCGTTCACCAGCTGTAAACTCTGGCGGAAGGTTCTGGTTGCTCGTCTACTACTGAACTGCAGTCCTGCTCCAGAACCTGAGTGTTGCGTGTGCATCAGTTTTACAGATCTCATTCTCTTGAATACAGACTGTTGGTTCCTTGCCTCTCCGGCAGACGCACTCCGTCTTCAAAGGAAGTTTGTGTGTATGTATGTGTGCCTGTATGTTTGCATGTATGTATGTATGTTTGTTTGTGTGTATCTATGTATGCCTGTATGTTTGCATGTATGTATGTATGCTTGTTTGTGTGTATGTCTGTATGCCTGTATGTTTGCATGTATGTATGTATGTTTGTTTGTAAGTATGTATGTATGCCTGTATGTTTTTATGTATGTATGTTTGTTTGCGTGTATGTATGTATGCCTGTATGTTTGCATGTATGTATGTATGTTTGTTTGTGTGTATGTATGTATGTATGCCTGTATGTTTGCATGTATGTATGTATGTTTGTTTGTGTGAATGTATGTATGCCTGTATGTTTGTATGTATGTATGTATGTTTGTTTGTGTGTATGTATGTATGCCTGTATGTTTGCATGTATGTATGTATGTTTGTTTGTGTGTATGTATGTATGCCTGTATGTTTGCATGTATGTATGTATGTTTGTTTGTGTGTATGTATGTATGCCTGTATGTTTGCATGTATGTATGTATGTTTGTTTGTGTGTGTGTATGTATGCCTGTATGTATGTGTGTATGTCTGTATTATGATTGTATGCCTGTATGTTTGCATGTATGTATGTATGTTTGTTTGTGTGTATGTATGTATGCCTTTATTTATGCTGGTATGTATGTAATGTATGCATACATGTATGTATGTGTGTGTGTAAGTGAGTGGGTGAGCGTGTGAATGTGGGTGTATCTATGTATATGGGTGTGTGTTTGCACGCGCAAGTTTTTGCATGCACTTTACAACTCATGCTTTTCTGTTCTTTCATAATACTCATAATATGCAAATCATTATATGATCATAACATGCTTTATTATTAAAATACAACTGCTGTGCGAAAGATGGTTTACTGGAAGGGCCGAATGTAAGACGGGCCTGCGTGCCCAATTTGTGACCCTTTGAAAATAAAGTTCGTTCGTTCGTTCGTTCCCTTGAGCGTTGTGCCTTGGCCAGATCTCCCGATAACACCTCGCAGCGCCATTCTTCTCAGACCGTAATGATCTTTTTGTGCCTCTGCACTGTTTTAATCGCTCCCAAAGGGCCCCCACAACATCTATCTTTTTATGCATCAGTTCACCACCAAGTGATGCAGAACCGACCAGTTTATCTGCATGATCGTTTCCCAACACACCTGCACGACCTGGAGAAATATCCCAAAAGACGCTAACTAGCCGGGACCTGCGAAGCGATGCTTGCCACGGTGCTTGCACGGAGCATGCTAAAAACTGTTTGACGTGTAGTCAGTCTCCGTCTGATTTCTGTATCATTTTTTTTTTTTGCGTTCACCGATTGTAAACAACAGCGGAAAGACCTGACTGTTCGTCCATTTCTAGACTTTGGCTTTGTTTCAGGACCAGAGTTTTACGTATGCATCCGTTTTAATGATCTTACTTATTTGCATCCGTTTTAATGATCTGACTTATTTGCATCCAAGCTGTTGGCTGCTTGCCTCTAAGGCAAAAGCACTCGGACTTTAAAGGAAGCGCTCAGTTAGTCGACTCCTACGACATGCTTGTTGGTGAGGCAGTGGGTCTATTCTTGTGTTCCCTTCAGAGGACCTCGAAACCCCCACGGCAAGAATCATTTTTTTTTTATTGTATCCGTTTCTGTTTACTCTTGTGTCTCTTCAAAGTCATCGCATCACTGTTTTATTTTGACGCTTATTAGATCTAGTAATAGTTTAGGTTAAACATGGACAATAAACTGACAAGCTGAACAACGTTTACTCGCGGCAGAGATGTGGTTTCTGAGAAGATTACAAAGAATATAATGGAAGGATAGAAATACAAACAAAGCTGTCCTTGTAGAGACAGATGAAAGTCATAAACTTATTAGAACAAAGTAAACTTATTAGACCACACTAAGCTTATTAGAACAAAGTAAACTTAGTAGAACAAA